TCGACATTTTAACCTTTAAGTTATACTCAATTATGATCATACTTATTTAAATACCTGCCAAAAGCGCAACGGCTTTTGGCAGAACTAGTGTCCGATCATTAATCTTTATTGATACGTAACCAATTCTGTGCAACTAATTCTTAATTCTTAACTCAACCTTTTTATTTAACTCGGTTTTATCCTAACTTTTTAACAGTTTGCTTGCCGGGGAGGATGGGGGGGTTATTCTCATGATGGAGTGACTGAATGATGGAAAACTTCCAAACTTTCAACCATCCCGAATCCTTAGAAGTTGACTTGAAGCAGCACAGCAAAGTTTTGGGGTCTTATGCACTAAACGGCTCAAAATTACGAAAATAGTCGCTCGGAAATTGAAAACACTCAATCAACAAACAAATACCTCAGTTATAACATAATATACGAAGAAAGTTTCTGGGGCGCGTCAGAAGTGAGCAATTTCTTTGATAATTTGGGCAAATGGATTACAGCTTTTAATTAAATTTTGACGCTCTCTCCACTAAAATTCGCAGAGATACGAGTCCGCTTGGCTTCATGCCGTACCACAGTGACGCTTATTTCACATTTTTGCATTTCTCCACTAAGATTCTATAAGAGTCATATGGCAAAATGTGAACGGGTTGAGAAAATTTTGGCTATGATTTACAGATTCACGATGAAAACCCTCATTTAAGAAGCCATAAGCTTTGCATTTGTCCTAGCAAATCAGCGTTCCGGGACATTTTGACTGACGTATGACAGGGATAAGGGTAGCGGAAGAGCGATCAGGGACGGCATATAGAAAACTTCTCTTTGATTCGCGGCAATAACCCCCCAAAACCCATTGTTCTGGGTATCCGACCAATGTTATTTTTCGACGCGAAAATAAACTTTCATCAATTTTGACAATTTTACCCTCCCCCCAATAACAGTACGCTTTTCAAGAAGGGCCATAGCACATATTTATCTCATAAAAGAACTCCAATCAAAGGTTGAATAAACACCTATTTCAAGCTCTATTTCGCAAAATTTAACACTGGAGAGCTCATAGGCCCATGAAAAGATGAATAAAATAATATCGTCAAGTGGTAGATGGGTTGAAATTGAGAAAATTTCAAGTGGTTGAAATTTCCTTGATTTCTCAGAGATTTTTTGAATACCCAATTCTGATTGGCTAAAAAGAAGTGAAAATAAATTTCATAACATTCGGTCCCTTCATGATGAGAGACGCCAGCTTCGCTTACAATAACCAAACTAATAAGCACAACTTTGGTTTGATTCGGTTTTCGAGTATGATTTAATTACGCTTGGTTGTATAACTTGAAATTACTTATGTTGAATGAAGGTTTATGAACCAATGATTTTCAAATTTTCAGTTGTGACCGGTCGACAGGTGACCCAACCTGTAAAAAAATTTGACCACTTGGGGCAGGTCAATTCGAGAAAAAAGTGACCGGTTTCCATCCCTGCTCTATACAACAAAAAAAGTTGCATATGCACCCTCACCAGAAGGTTTAAAATCTACCGATAAAAAGTCACGACATTTTCACATCTTACTGGAAAAAAGTCCGACAGGCACCTGGAAAAGAGTCAAGAAACCCAAAAAAGTGAATGACTTTTCTGAACTTTTTTCCTTTTGGCAAATTAATTTAAATTGAACTTGAACATAAATCTAAAACAACTCTAAGTCAACTTAAACATAAATCCGCAATATCTGAGCCCGAACAACTTTGAAACAAAACATAATCTAAGTAAGATAAACACACTTCGATCATTACCTCTTAATACAACAATCTTTAAAATTCATTCTACTTAAGTTAAATGAAGTTTAGAATTACAGCTTTTGCTTCATACTTATTAGTTTTACTCAAGTCGTCATAACAGATGGTCCATGAGAAGATTAAAAATTGCTCTATGGAAACTGAAAACATCAGATTCGATATGTGAAGCCTGAGTATCATCGCCAGCAGATAGCTGGAAAAGTCTCAAAAAACTCAAACCAAAAAAAAAAGATTGATTAATTTTTAATCATTTTTAAACGGTCGAATTTCCAAAATTTATATCACGTTAAACATTTTTCAATTTCAAAAAACTATGACCGACGCTTTGTTTATACAATTAACCCAATTTGAGAAAACTGGATCAACGGTTGATTTATCTTCTTTTTTGGACAGAAGAGCTTCATTTGCCGTTCGTGCAGCAAATGAATTGAAACTAACTTAGAAAGAACAAAGTCAACAGTGAAATAAAAAATTAGCAACTTTAAGACTGTTTCCTAAAAAACTGACACGACGTATTTTAGTGTCTCAATACGTTCAATCACACTTAATGACACTTAGACATCTCAGGATTCCGGTTTTGTAGCAGAAAAATATTACAATTGTGTCTTTTAGCATTTCGACATATTACTGTTGACCCACAATTGATTGAGAGGCTAAAAAAAGACGCTTAGTCTTTGGTTGAGCTTCCCGTATTAGGACATTTGTCCTAATGCGAGAAGACCAACCAAAGACTAAGCGTCTTTTTCACCTCTCAATCAATTGTGGGTCAATACAAAACAAGAATGCCGCTAAGTCGAAAAAAATTCGAAAATTTTGAACTAGGTAAATCGATAAGGCTAGTTTTGAAACAAGAACGAGCCAAGACAATAGAATATAAAACTAGCATAGAAGGAAAAATTATCACGCGGTAACAAAGCCAGAAATACCTTAGCAAAAACCCTTTAGGCCATTTTTCTCTAAATTATCGAGTCGCCCACACCCTCAAACAAACAAACAAACACACACAAACAAACTTACTCACGCGTCAAATGAAACACTATGCCCATATAACAATGGCCGATACAAACACACTCACATACAAACTATTCACGCATCAAATGAAACACTATGCGGCCACTATGCCCATATAACAATGAATGGCCGAAACCTATTAAACCCAAAAAAGGAAAATAAAAAAAAACGAAGCCGAAAAAATTTTTAGGACTATTGAAAAATTATTAAATTCGCTCACCCTCAAAACACATACACAGCTCGTGCAACGACAAAATATGCGTCATAACGCCGATGCAAAATAGGCTAAATCCTAGCAAGCCGAAAAAAAAACGAAAAGAAAAAAACAAAAAAAGTCAAAAAAATTTTAAGACTATTAGGAAGTTATTAAACCCCCTCGCCCTTAAAACACAGACACGCACAAGCAAACTTTTTTCTCCCATTGAAAGGCGCAAAATGAGACCATTAAACCGATATAACATAGGCCGAAACTTATCAAGCCGAAAAAAATTATTGTCATGAAAAACTTGAACTATAATTTCTATTAAGATTTCAGCTTTTTGTGCGATCTTGAAACTACTCAAATTTAGGCCACTAAGCCGATATAAAATAGGCCCGAGCCTATTAACCCAAAAAAGACAAGAAAACAATTTTAACAAATCGAGTCGGAAAAAGCACAACCAATATAAGAAGAAAATTTTGAAAAGCGCCGATATTCAAAAGAACAAACTCAATCATGCTTGATATTTACAACCGAGAGGAGTACTAATTGCAATGAGCACAAAGAAAAGAGGATTTGCAAACAGAATTTGTGAAGAAGTCCAGATGTGAGTCCTGTAGACAAAGTTGTTAACGAGAAAAAGTCTAGCACCCGATTGCAATACCCTTGCTATCGCAATGGTGATTACACTTGTCAACAAAAATCTATCAAGATCAGAAACAAAAAAAAACATAGGCAACAGGGAATCGGCAAGGAGTCAAAGAACGCAAGTAAACAGAAAAACACGAGAAATTTATTTGTTTTTTTGAAAAACTTTAACTATCGAAATTCAAAGAAAAATATTATGCCCTTAAAGCTCTTAGAATTTTAAGAACAATTCAATATTTGGTATTTTTTTGGTTAAAATAACCCGATTTGAAACAATTGAAATAATAGCTTAGGTTTTTGTTCAGCTGGGAAATATGAAAATTAAAGTTTAATTTCTAAACTAGATTTCGATCAAATTTTTTGTGAACTATACACTTTTGCTGTCGATAATGGAGTTTACCTTTCTTTTAACAAAGGAAAAGAACTGAGTTTTAAAAAAGCGCGAACAAATTTTAGGACTTTTTTCTGAAAAAAAAACAAAAGAGCACAAGACTTGAAGAATAAGAGTCTTGTCCGGACGAAACGCACAAGACTTGAAATTTAAAACACATTTTTTTCAAAATGGGTTCTTTTTAAGTTAAAAAACGCTGAAAGAGTTAGCTCAGAATTGCAGTAGAATTAATATGGTGCAATTTGTTTTGCACATTCTGGCCTCAAATTCTACCCCAAAAAAGATTATTTTCGACTTTTCAGTCAATAAAAATAACGTACCCAGTCAATCACTGACAAAACTACATCAAAGTGAGCCTCTCACGCAAGAGCAAAAAAGTTAATGCGCCTATAATGTTTCGCGTATAATAGTTGTAAAATAAAAAATTGGTGGTTTACATAGAAAAAATGACATTTTTGTCTATCAAATAAAATGGATTAATTCTAACAATTTTTGGATATTAAACCCTTCTTACATTTTTGGGGCTAAGCAATATGCTCATGTTCATTTAAGTTTGTCAGTAATTGACTCGGTAGTTTTGGCGTAATTGTCGATTGATCTTTGGCCGCTACTTGCCATTGCTACATTTAATGTTAACGATCTGACTGACTTGTTAATTGGTTTGGGTCTTCTGAAAAAAAACCAGGTCTGCTGAGCAACCTAGCACCCTCAGGACTAATTCTGGGACAATTACAAAAACATACCGAGTTTCCACTGAAGGTCGTCAGATTAACTTGAAATTTTTTAATGCTATCAATCAATCAATGGCAAAAGCACATTTTATTCTTCTTAAATTAGTGGCTATTTTTGCTCCAAATACACAGAGGACCTTATTGTGTCAAATACAGCCCAATTCGACTGGAACGGTGAGCAAATTGGCGAAATATTTGAGGGGGGAATTGTGCAATCCATATATGGCGGTGATTGAGTTAACCTTGTCCTGTATGAAGTTGGAAGCTCTCTCCAGCCTCTTCTGGAGCATGAAGGAGAAGAATCTGTCGATGAGGGCCAGTCCAATGGGGCCGATGCCATCCACCACCTTCTGCAGCAGCACAGTGTCCATCACAGGCTCCCGACTCTTCAGATCGAACCACGCCCCACTCTGCTCAATGTACACTGTGCTGCTGAAGTCTGTCACGCGCAACATCTCACGACCTAAATCAGTGTACTGTGCTGTGTAGTCACAAGAGGGTCCACTGGACGGGATCAGGCAGGGGGGGGGGGGGGGGGGCAACCACCCTTCTCCCCCTCAACTCTAGCTGCAAAATTTTATCAGAAGGGTCCACATTTGGTACTATTTTACGCAAGCCACTTTTCGTTGACCAGCTCTATTAATTTCTACAATATATAGTAATATTTCAGTTACAAATGTTACAACGCTTCGCTACGCCTGTGCCAAACTAACTCGCACATTTTTGTTATTGTTCCAACCATTGAAAATGGAGAGGAACTTTATAATCGGGTGTCTTCTTGCTTTTGGATTTCCACGCAAAATCAGATACCACAAACCATCATCGCACTGGGTTGAGTGATATACCATATAAAAGCCTTTTCAGCCATGATTCAAACGACGTAAAAAAATTTCAAAGCTCTCCCAGTTTCGACAAAACCGGTTTGAAATTTTTGATTTTTCGTCTAATTTCGAGCGAGTCATCAGGCTTACATTAACTTATTTATGCTTAACTTAAGCCTTGAAAATTTAATTTCACGCAAATAAATTTATTTACTGAAGTTTTAAGCGCCCTCTTAGAAATCAAAAACTTCAAAATTTTGAAAACTTAAAAAAATGAAAACTTGTCTTTTAAACCAACATAATTAAAGCCGATAGCTAATAGGCTGAAAATCAACCAAAAAAAATCGGGGTAATCTTTTGGAAACATATACATGTACTGCCCACATAATATTCACGAAGGCCATTTAGGAAGTGAATGCAAGGTGATATACGAAATTGAAAAACTAAACCGAGAGCTTAATAGACAACCATAAAGCAATGCCCAGACAATGCAATACGAGATAAGTTTCGGAAGAAGACTTACCAAGCGCTAAAAATCCCTAAAATACATGAGCAGAAACTGTTCCAAAAGATTCAAAAAGTTATTAGGCATAGCCACTCACCCACAAAACTTACTCACCCGCGCACAAAAAATTCTTTCGCTCATCAAACGGCGCAATATGAGGTCACTAAACCAATATAACATAGGCCGAAACCTATTAAGCCGAAAACAAAGGAACAAAAAAAGAAATTTTAAAAAATCAACAAAGGTAAAATTTTAAATTACAATCAACATAAAAAACAAACTTCGAATAGGACGGATATTTAAAACACTAACATGTTCAAAATATATCTGTTGCATGAATTTTAACAGAAAGAACCAGGAGATAAATGAGTGAAGGAGATGAGTCCTGTTAAAACGTTTTTTAAGAGAAAATTTTTTGTACCCGTTCGCAATACTCTGGCTGTTGAAAATAAAAAACACAACAATCAAAAATCTATTTAGTTATATTAGATACAAAAACTTAAGCGATGCAACGAGAAGCTAACACACATATCAGACAAAACAAAAGATTGGAAAATTTAGAAACTTGAAAAATGAAACTATCTTTTTAGCTAGGTTTACGTTGGTTTTTCTTGTCTTTTTTCTTCAAAAACTGTTTTCCAATTTGAATATTTTGCTATGACCGACAAAAATGCCTAAGCTCTATTTTTTCGTTCAGATTCTTTTATCACGCCACGCCAAAAAACGACATTAATTTGAAAAAAAAAATTAAATTTTTTAAGACTGGTAGGAACATTATGTGCTATTTGCACAGTAACCGGCTATCCTTGTTAATTTCTGAGTTCACTTTTATTCATAAATTCTGCGACCCAAAAACTAAAATCAAAACTTCAATTTGCTCAAACAATTCTACACATTTACTTATAGAACTGTATATTAAAGCTAGAACTATAAAGTTCTCAACTAAAATTAGCTAAACAACCGGAACTACCTGACATTTCTTCCAACAAAATGCAAACTCTCGAGAAATCGAGAGCAAGCAAAAGCGGTCATGCAATAAAAAAAACTTCGCAGAAAAATATTTACTAGCAACAAAAAATTGTCAGTCGAACAAATGCCAATAGAAACTAAATACCACATATAGCAAACAGGAAAGGAGGACCACTAAAAACCAACAAAAACGCAAAAAAATCAAAGTGTTGTCTGGAATGATGTTCTATTTGCGGAAAACACGTCCAAAAACACAATCAACGGCTTTATAATGGAAACTCGCAAGAAACTATTGAGCGGAAGTTGAGCCGACAAAACCTGGGTAAATTCCCGTTGAACCGAAAAAAATGTTGCCATGAAAAACGTTGAACTATAAAATCTATTCAAAACTTTTAACATTTGCTATTCGGAGGGGGGGGGGGGCTTAAAAAATATGGCTCCCTTCAAACAGTCGTCCAAAATTAGTCTGTTAAGCCCATAAAATATAAGCCGAAATCATTTGGGCCGATCTGAAATATTTACGCGAAAAATTAACAAATTATTACAAATTGCGGGAGTAAATCAAAATATAATCAACTGACAGTAGGAAAAGAGTAATAAATGCAATGAAACTGAAACAAAAACTGACTTGTTTTTTGAAGAGCCTTCAATTTTTTTGCAAATAGATGGTGTTAAAAGCTCTTTGAATTTGTAGAACAATGTATGATGGACACTTTTTTGTTAAAATAACCCAATTTGAGAAAACTGGATCAAAAGGCAAAACTTTTATTTCGCTGACAAATCTGATACTTAATTTATATTTTCAAAATTAGATGTCGATCACGTTTTTCATGACCTGTTGCACCCGATATGTGGATATGTGTGGGTGAGGTTCGCCTGACAGTTAGACACTGACCTAGTCTTCCCACGAATGTGACCGAGTCCTGGTCTGTCGGAGGGTATTTGGGGATGGGGATGGTGGAGGACTGGAACTGACTGTCCTGGTCTGAGATCTTCACCCGTAGAAACACATTACACTCTCGCTCCACGTTGTAGTGCATCACTCTAAATTATAAAAAGAATAGCATTGCTTTTAGTTCTCTCTTAAGTTGTGACCAATGGCTGCTTTACCGAATATCACAAGCATAGCAGATAGAGAATCGTTAAACTCAAAGACTGAACACAGAGACAGCCCGTTTTTGTCATAAAAAATTTGTAAAAATTGCATGAAAACCTAAAAGGTCAGGAACAGCATCATGCTACAAACAGCATTCATGCTACAAAAAAGCCGAACTTTCAAGAAAGTCCTTTCTGCGGGAACTAAGCCGGTAAAAAGAAGCATGCAGACAAAAATCTCAATTCGCAGAAAAATAAAAAGTCCCGAATGGAATCAAACTCCCCGGGTTTAAAGTTAAGACAACAACCTAGAAGAAAGCTGAACCTTCAACAAAATCAGCCAACAAAAATAAACAGACGGACGGACGATAGTCCGAAAGAGCAGAAAAAACTCAATTTTGCGAGAAAAAAAACAGGTCCTGGCCGGGTTTGAACCACAAACCTTTGCCATCTCAAGCAGATGTCTCACCTCTACATCATATGCGCCAGATGGTTGAGTCAATTTGAATTTATAATAAATAAAGTATATGAGTGAATCCAGGAGACGAATACTGTGAACAAATTTATTAGGGAGAAAAGTCTAGTACCCGATTGCAATACCCTTGCTTATCGCAAGGAGAAAAATGGCCAACAGACAGGTCTTAAAAAATAAGAAGACCAAAAAACGACTGATTAACTTGGAAACCTTTTCAACGTAGAAAAAAATGTGACCTTGAAGCTCTTTAAACTTCAAAAATATTTTCTGATTGACCATTTTTGGATAAAACAAACGCAATTTGATAACAAGGATAGCCTGTTACTGTGCAGGTAGCATAGAATGTTCGACCATAGTCTTGAAAAAAGACGAAAAAGACTTTTTTCAAATAAGGGTCATTTTTCCTGCGTGGTTGATAAAAAGATCTGAACGAAAAATAGAACTTAAGCATATTTGACAATCATAGTCAAATAAGCCAATGGAAACAGTTTTTGTATAAATATTACAAGAGAAAAGAAAAAAAAAATTTGCAGAATTTTTTTGAACTTTGAAGTTTTGCTTAAAAACTCCAAAAATTATTTTTTTACTCAAATAAATTAAAAATTCACGGCCTAAACAAGCATAAACAGTCTATTGCAAGCCTGCACATTCACCTTATTAGCTTAAAATTAGGCCAAAAATTTTAAAATTAGGCCAAAAATTTCTTACTCGTTTTTCTTGACACTGAGAATTGTTTGGGTCGTTCGAATCACGTCTGAAAGGGCTCGAATTCGACCCAATCCAATAAATAACTGTGTAACCTGATTTCGAAAACAAAATAAAGAAAAAACTCAAATACTCGAATACAAAGTTCCTCCTCATTTTTCAAATGGTCGGATCAAAAACTGGATAAAGAAATTTTTTTTTCAAAAGCCACAAGAAACTCTAAAATTTAAACCCACTAAGAAATTAATCCAAAAAACATTCACCCTTTTTCACGTTATTTTTATTTCTGCTAATGGAAAGCGTAATTTGACTTCCTTTAAATGAATTTGAAATGACTTAAAAAGCAATCAAAATCAAACCGCTGAAAAAATTGAGCGTGAACATCTTTTGGGCTGTTCACGTTCAAATTTGATTTTACCCAACTTGACTTTTGATAGATTTTTAATTTACTTACTATGGTGATGTGAAGAGACTGAAACTCGGATCAAAACATGCTTTTAAAAAAGATTATTTATCAACTTTGATGCTAAGATATATTGAAAAAATAAAAAAAATTATAGATCCCGTCAACGACGTCCTCAAAATGAAGACTCAATTTCATCCACTCTCCGCTACAATTGGATTGATTTTTAGGCTATCCAGCCTGAGTTTTTTCGACAAAAAGATCAATGATTTTTGATTTTTTTTGGAATCCAAATCACTAGCAATTGGGGTTTAATATGCCATATTCGACCCCTATAAACTTTTTTGGCGAATTCAAAACTGGACAAAATAACCCACAATGAGTCACATTTCTATGCAATCACTTCTTGAAGTGCTCGGCGCCGTGCAAGTAATACGGACTCTTCCTATGACAGTTGTTACTGCAAAAAAAATCAAGCAGATATTGTTATATTTTTAAAGCATTTTATTTAAACCTTGATAAGTGAATTGAGCGAAAAGCTCACCAGTAAAATGAGATTTTTGAAGATACTTTCATTCATTTTTTGCTAAACATTTAAAGAAAAGACAAAATTGACACTACGTTTTTCTCGACGATCGAAAAGTTTCTTGATTTTTTTAAGGAAATAATCCAAACCTTGACTAAAAGGTCTTTAATATGATATTGATTATGGTACCGGAAAAAATTACCTAATTTCATTCTAGCCTATGCCATTCTACCTTACGTGTTTTTACCCACATTACCCGACAATGCATTTTTACACACAGGCCAAGCTGCGCGTTGCAAACACTAGCGAAACACGACAAAAAAAGCAATTTTATAAGGTGAAAAAAGAAAAATAGAAATACGCCCCGAATTACCAAAACCTTGCTACGTATCGGATTCGACTGAGATTTGGGGTCTGACGCCCAGCACGCTAGGTCACGAACACTTAACAACCGCCAAACACTAGTCACGAATGAAGCAGCTACATATGCCAATAAATTGCCACTGCGATTCAACAAAGTGGCAAATACAAATAGACAGAATTTGGCATGTAATAATTGAAGGCATCCATGCTAACTTTGCATGTAAAAAATAGAAAGCATAAAGCATGAGCATTTCAAGAATATTGCGAGATATATTGAGTTGGAAAATTTCTGAAATCGAATTCTTATTATTGTACTGATACTTGAAGCAAATAGCTTTTTCGATTCATTTGAACAATGAGAAATGCATCAACTGTGTTAACTTATTATGTATCGAACGTCAAAGCATATGCTATCAAAAAACCGCAAGGGTGCCACAAAAGTGGCTCACGTAAAGGTTAGAAAAAAAGAATAGTCATACTATAGCACTAACTCACTAAAGTTGCTAGTGTAATCATCAATGCCAACACACAAACACAAATAGTGATCGCAGTCGAGCCAAAGTAATGTGAGCTTGCGAACAGAAATTAGGACTCTATGAAAATTAGAACTGGCCTTTACGGAAAATCTAAGAAAAGGACAGAGTGGCGTATGGTTAGGGTTAAATAGTATAGGGTAGATTGTAATGGAAGCACTATTTTTCAGCCCAAGAGAAATTTTTTGAGGTAACTTAAATTGCACCAAAACTCATCCGAAGCTAACAATTACTTCACTATAAAGCTCATTAATTTCAAAGTCTTTCATGATAGGAACTACTAATTTTGATAAACATTTATACAATTTGGGAATACTGGACCGAGAAGTATTTTTTCCGGCTGATATATCTCAAAACCTGGCTGTAGTATCAGGAAAAAAACTTATTTTATTAGCACTGGTGAAACTTGTTTTAATCCTAGCACTTTGACCAATGCTACCTGGTATATTCCTCTTGCCATATCTTCAGTCCATACAAGTTGACATAGTCTTGAATGTACTCAAATGACCTCCTGAACCCATCTATCTTCTGGGCCAACTCTGGCAACTTCGTGTTCAGTTCGGACACCTTGGCTTTCGGATTGAACACAAGAGTGGAGTGGAGTGCGTTGGCCACTTGCACCACCAACTCCTTCCGGATCCCATCTTCCAGCAGCTGTCTCGGATCTATCTTGATCACACCCACCATCGTATTCTTCATCATCAGCACGCCCTAGACAACAAAACTCAATATGTTTCATCTGCGCTGACTAACAGACGACTTCCTGTTCCATACTTCTCAATTACTTTAAGCCTCTCTTAACTAAAAACCAGAGCAGTTTTAGTTATTCTTTTTTCAGTAAAATAACATATTTGCAGCATTGTTTTTATAGCCATGTACTTCAATTTTGGCTTTTCCTTCCTCTTCAAAACAGTGCTTCGCTATCGAAGATAAAATTCATTTGTTTTTAGATAATTGCAGATAGATAGATAATTAATTGATTCAAATAAGCGAGATTGACTCTTCTTTCATCTGTGTCAAAACTGGTGCTGCGATCATCCAATTTTGGGCATTCTTTTAAAAACTTCTTTGCACGTCTTCTCGCTTTCAATATTGCAATATTTTGCTTTAGTTCGAAAATTTGTACTAAAAATAGTGCTAAGTGGAAGTTTGTGAATGATATTTTTCGCACCTGTGCCAGAACAGAGGCGTCATGTGTGAGTCTGGCCACTTCGAATCTCTGCGTCTCCAGTGCGTACTCTGTCAGCTTCTCCTTCTCAACTTTAGTGGGCAGTTCTCTCAAACTGGGGTAGTTGGTCTGCAGCCGGATGATTTTGGCCAGTAGGGCGAACATGGAGGTGGGGATGATCTGGAGCACTGCCCGCATGAACATCACCAACTCGTTGCTGTAGTACTGAGAGACACTCATTCTACAGTCAACAAAAACAACTTCAACAAAAACAAAGCGTATTCAGTCGTCTTGCTCGAAACAAACTAAACTCGAATCACGAATGAAAAAGATTTTAAATGAATTATTGTTCACCCCATCTGACGTGTATTTTTGGTTCCGAAGTTTCGGGAAAAAAATTGCTACAGGCCTGAACAACTGACCAATGACGAACCTTTGAAGAGTTAAGTATCAACAAAGATCAAAATCTAAGACTAATTTCGTTTAAACGCTTTCACCAAAAAAAATTACGTTGTAGATTAACAACTTTAAGCTTGAAAAGTTATTTAGCATTCTAGCCTCCATAAATAACAGTCAAACAAGCGATGTAGCTGGCAGGTAAAAACAAAGCGGAAAGTAAGTCGACAAAAAATAAACCGAAAGCGACGAAGTCGAAAAATTAGAAGATACCAAAGAAACATCAATAGAAAAAATTGGACTGTCAATTTATCGGAACACTAATAAGGCTGCAGAGTGTGAGTAACAGACCAATGAATGCAAGTAGGACGGACATACTGCATGCATGTTTTGTACTGCATGCATGCTGAAATCCATAATAATAACATCGAAAAAATCAGTAACATGATAAAAATCATAATAAAAACACTGAACACTAGCGAGAAAGCGACCAAAAAAAAGCTCTATAAAAAGAAAATAAGAAAAATAGGCTTTGACACAGGCGGAGCTGCGCTTCGCAAACACAAGAGGAAAATGCAAAAAAAAGATCTCTAAACAGGCAAAACAAAGTGAAATAATCCTTTTGGTAAATAATCCCATAGATTATAAGGTTAAAAAGACACCTTGAGAAACTTTTTGGCAAGGCTTGGGAAAAACACATTCTCGCATCTGCTTTAAGACCGCTTTTAATTTTACTAACACTAGCCACCAATAAAGCATCTGCAAAGTTTCAAAAATTGTACATTTTCTATGACAATATTTTTTCAAAACGCAGGGCATAGCCGTTTGCACAGGGAAGATTCGCATACCACGTTTTTTATTCAGGTTCAACTCTTATTCTCCGATTTGGCAGCTGTTTTTTGTTGAATTCATTTTTATACTGTTCTCTTTCGTCTGCTTAATCGTCATGACCAGTTTGTTTATTGTTTGGTTTATATTTCAGACAGTGTTGTGCCTTTTGTATGTTGAGTCAAATATACAATTAATTTTTACATGGTAGCAGAATGTCTAAAACGATCTATCCTCCTCCTGAATTTTCTGGTAAAAGTTATGAAGCTTGGTGTCGTGAACTCAAGCTTTGGCGAACTTTGACTGATCTGGACAAAAAAAAACAGGCGCCAGCTATCGGATTGTCCCTGAAAGGGAAGTATCGCGAAGTGGCGATAATCTTGACAGATGATGAAATGACTGCAGAACCGGGGTTCGAGAATTTATTGACAAAACTTGACCAAAAATTCAAAAAAGACAAGGTTGATCTGGCGTATGAAGCCTACAACAACTTTGAACGCTACCGTAGAACTCAGAGTACAAGTATTGTGGAATTCGTCAACGAGTTCGAATCAAGGTACGATGAAATGGCGAAGTATGATATGAAGTACCCCGAAAAGGTTAAGGGGTGTAAGCTTTTAGATATGGCATCACTTGAAATGCGTGAAAAGTAGATGGCGCTCACCGCTGCCAGAGATCTTACTTTTGAAGAAATTGAAAAAACTCTTCGACGTATTTTTGGCTCCAATCAGAGTATAAGTGATTCAAACTTTGACGAACTTGTCCCTTCGCAACCTTCGAGCTCTACAAATATCAAAACTGAAGCTTTCATGAAAAATCGCTACTCCAAGTTCCAGAAGCGCAAAACAACCGATTCAAAACCATATAAAAGAATCCAATTGACCGAAGTGGTAATATAACGAATTGTCGTAATTGTGAATCTGTTTATCATTATGTAGCAGATTTTCCGGTACCCTTTGAGAACAAGCGCCAGAAGGAAACTGAGTCGCACTTTGTTTCGAGTGAAAAAAGTTGACCTAAAAGTTGTGAAGATTCTGATGTCCAGGAATCACTAATTTCTATTGCATTAATAGCAGGAGGGGTATTGCTGCAACAATCTCGGAATTGCGCTACTCTGGACACCGCGTGCACGGGAACAGTTTGTGGGCAACTGTGGTGGGAAGTGTTTTACGACAGCATTCCCGAAAATCTCAAAAAAATGGTCAAGTATGAGAACTCGGAGACAAAAATTGTGTTCGGCAATATAGAGAGTCAAAAAGCAATTATGAAAACTACTTTCCCAGCCCGAATTGGGTCTTAACTTTGTACCATCACATCTGACGTAATTTTGAGCGAATTGCCATTATTAATGAGCAAACAGGCCATGAAAAAAGCTGGAATGAAGTTGAATTTATCCGAGGATAAAGTTATTGTGTTCGGTGAAACAATACCACTCTCCTGCACGTCATCCGGTCATTATTTACTGCAGCTATCAGATAAAAAAGTCAATGAAGTTTTCTTGGCAAGACCGAATGGTGATCTCGATAAGAAGTCTTTGTGGAAGCTTCATATTCCGTTTGGACACTGTTCGAAGTTGAACTTGGAAAGGCTGCTGAAAAATGGAAAGTACAAATTCGATAAAGAAAATTTAGATGAGATCTACACTCACTGTGAAACTTGCACTACGAACTCCAAACCTGTTATCAAGCCGATAACTTGTGTACCTATTTCTTGTTCTCCGAATGAAGTTGTTGCAATTGATCTTCATCAACTCGGTCCCAAAAGCTGGTATGTTCATCTCATCTGCACATTCAGTCGATTTAGCGTTACTTCTATAGTTTCATCAAAAAAACCACAAGAAATTATCGGCGTTGTCATGAAAAAGTGGTTTTCTGTTTTTGGAGCACCATCGCGTGGCTTCTTAACTGACAACGGAGGCAAGTTTTTCAACTCACACTTCAGCAGTCTCGCTGAAAAATTAGGCATCGAGTTGCTAATTCACCGCATATTCACCCCAGAGTAACAAAATCGTTGAGCGACAATATCGCACACTCACTGAGATGTTCTGTAAGGTTTTTCACTCATTCCCGGATATTGACCAAGAAACCATGTTAGCTTTTGCTTGCCATGCTAAAAACAATCTATACAGCAACAATGGTTTCACGCCGTCTCAGATAATGATTGGTCGAACAACCATTTCTCCGTCAGTGCTGGACTGCAAACTACCGTTCCTAAATGAAGAGGTTATGTCAGATTTTGTCGCGAGAAATTTACTCTCGTTGGCAGCGATTCGGAAATCTTTCATAGAATCAGAGAACTCCGAACGTATTCGGCGAGCATTAAGGCACAACATTAGAGAGAGGAATACCTTTGAAGTGGGAGAACCAGTTTACTATTTAGGACGCGGAAAACCTGGTTGGCATGGGCCGGCGAAAATAATTGGGCGAGATGGTAAACTAGTCGTTCTACGCAATGGTTCTTATGTTAATCGCGTTCATGAAACCGATTTAAAGTTATCACCGTTGGATGACTGGTTGAAATGTGATTGCATCGATGAAACGACGGAAAGTGCAGTTTGCAACGAAAAAATTGATTCCGGGGTCGAAAACAGTGAAACCTTGCCCGCTGAAGAAGTTGATGACGTTTCATGGGATTTGCGAGAAGTTGAAAGCGCGGTAGATGACGCCGTTACCAGTGAAAATTGCGCTAACGAAGTAGTCAGCTCACATGAAGTGATCAAACCAATTCACGGGCCAGTTCACTCCAAAAAAGCGTTATTACCAAAATTTGGTCAGACAATACGCTTGAGCAACTCTCATGCTGATATTTGCGATAAAACCTTCATGGGCGAAGTTTTATCTAGAGCTGGTAAAGCCAACGGGAAAAATAAAGGATTTTTCAATGTTAAATGGAGTCATCCGGATGATGTTGCTGGTCAGTCACGATGCATAGATTTATTATCGGAAGAAAACGATTGGAATATTGTCTCAGAACCCGAAGTGTCTGCTTTTCTGAGTAGTACTGACGATTTTGTGGTTGCTAATTGAATGAGTTACAGTCATGGAAGGATAATAATGTCTTCGAAGTTGTTTCCGCGAGTGGCCAGGATGTGATGGGCACAAGATGGGTCCTCACGATGAAAAAAGATGCCTCTGGAAAACAAGTCCCGAAAGCCAGGCTTGTCGTCAAAGGTTTTTGTGAAACTCTAGATACTTTCGAAGATAAGGCACAACATTAGAGAGAGGAATACCTTTGAAGTGGGAGAACCAGTTTACTATTTAGGACGCGGAAAACCTGGTTGGCATGGGCCGGCGAAAATAATTGGGCGAGATGGTAAACTAGTCGTTCTACGCAATGGTTCTTATGTTAATCGCGTTCATGAAACCGATTTAAAGTTATCACCGTTGGATGACTGGTTGAAATGTGGTTGCATCGATGAAACGACGGAAAGTGCAGTTTGCAACGAAAAAATTGATTCCGGGGTCGAAAACAGTGAAACCTTGCCCGCCGAAGAAGTTGATGACGTTTCATGGGATTTGCGAGAAGTTGAAAGCGCGGTAGATGACGCCGTTATCAGTGAAAATTGCGCTAACGAAGTAGTCAGCTCACATGAAGTGATCAAACCAATTCACGGGCCAGTTCACTCCAAAAAAGCGTTATTACCAAAATTTGGTCAGACAATACGCTTGAGCAACTCTCATGCTGATATTTGCGATAAAACCTTCATGGGCGAAGTTTTATCTAGAGCTGGTAAAGCCAACGGGAAAAATAAAGGATTTTTCAATGCTAAATGGAGTCATCCGGATGATGTTGCTGGTCAGTCACGATGCATAGATTTGTTATCGGAAGAAAACGATTGGAATATTGTCTCAGAACCCGAAGTGTCTGCTTTTCTGAGTAGTACTGACGATTTTGTGGTTGCTAATTGAATGAGTTACAGTCATGGAAGGATAATAATGTCTTCGAAGTTGTTTCCGCGAGTGGCCAGGATGTGATGGGCACAAGATGGGTCCTCACGATGAAAAAAGATGCCTCTGGAAAACAAGTCCCGAAAGCCAGGCTTGTCGTCAAAGGTTTTTGTGAAACTCTAGATACTTTCGAAGAAGACTCACCAGTAGTTTCTAGAGAGGCTATGAAAATGTGCCTGGCGCTAGCCGCAATGTTGGGTTGGCCAGTCCTTGCCCTGGATGTCAAGACCGCTTTTTTGCACGGAAAGCATCTTACGAGAGAGATATGCGTTGAACCTCCTTCCGAAAGTGGTACCCCTAATGGTACTGTTTGGCGCTTAAAAAACCAGTTTATGGGTTGCAGGACGCAGCTAGACACTGGTATTTGAGAGTTTCTGAGGAATTAGTTTCCCTTGGTGCTACCAAGTGCAAACTGGAACCCTCTATTTTTATTTGGAACACTAACGAGATGCGTGGTCTGGTATGCGTTTATGTTGATGATTTTCTCTACTCAGGTACTGATGGCTTTGTTGAATTCATCACCTGTGCTTTGAAGTCCAAATTCATTATTGGTTCAGAGAACCAAATGCCGATGACTTTCACAGGCATTGAGCTAAAAGATAGCGGAAATTCTCTTCAGATGAGTCAAACAGATTACGCACATAGCATAAATGAATTACCCATAGAAGGTGCCTCAGATGCCTGCTTGAACGCACATGATGCGACTATTTTTCGTGGAGCTATGGGGAAACTCCAATGGCTAGCAGGTCAGACGAGACCTGATCTAGCGTTTTCTGCAAATTCTATATCTATATCTTCCGTGTCGCCCACTTACCATGATGTTCATATAGCGAACAAAGCTTTACAAGATGGTCTCGACTGTGCAGTATTCTTCCAAAAGCTCTGGAAGCAAATTACAGACCAGTATTTGAAGATTTTTGCTATAACGGACAATTATTCCCTCTACTGTGCCTTACTTTCGGGAAAATCTGTGGAAGAAAAGCGACTCCGAATTGAAATAAGCGCCTGCAAAGAACTATGCGATTCAGGGGATTTGGAGAAAATATTTTGGGTTTCGACAAATGAGCAAATTGCTGACTGCCTGACGAAAAAAACTGGAAATTCGGAGTCCCTTTGGAGAGTTTTGCGATCGAATTATGTTGATGTATCAAAAAATTCCATGAAAAATGGTGAATTTGCGAATGTGTGAATAACTGCTTTGATCTTAACATTTCTACCTAAATAACTTTCAATCAATATGTTAAGTTTTGATGTGCACACTTAATTGAAACACTCATCTGTCAATCAGTTATTCAGCCACGTGCATTTCGTTATATGACGCTTTTTAATAAATTGCTTCAACTTTCGCTTGATTGCTGTCAATCAATTATTCAACCACGTGCATTTCGTTACATGACGCTTTTTAGTACATTGCCTCAACTTTCGCTTGTTTGCTCAAGCAGCGTTTGCATAACACGCCGACTCAGCTTTACGCATAAACGCGTACTCGCTATCATCAATCCTCCAACAAAGAATTCATGGGAGATTGTTGAATTCATTTTTATACTGTTCTCTTTCGTCTGCTTAATCGTCATGACCAGTTTGTGCAATGTATATTGCTTGGTTTATATTTCAGAGAGTGTTGTGCCTTTTGTATCTTGAGTCAAGTATACAATTAATTTTTACATTTTTGAGTCAAAAAAATTAAAAATTAACCAAAATGTCAAAAATCGGGCTTGTTTGAGGCCATAACTTTTTTTCCCATATTTAGGGAATAGCCGCTTGAGAAGGAGAGATCCCAACGATTAGTTCTTTAGCTTAAAGGTTAATCTCAGATTTATGCATTTATTATTTAAGAAAATGAACAAATTCAAATTCAAAAAAGTCAAAAATCCCCCTATTGAAACTTTCGAAAGCCGTAGAAATTGGTGTAAACAGAATTGAGACTAGCAAAAAATGCAGGCACATAGAATAGCAGCCAGTTTTTCCAATGACACCATTGTTTTGAAAATTGGTTGTAGTTTTCCAAAGAGTTGCAAAAAAAACAAAAATTAACAAATCCCATACATTATATATTTTCATAACACCTGTTGATTTCAAACAGGACCAAACGCTAGCCAAAAATAAACCAGCACTACACGCTTTTAAATTACCTAAGCTGAAATATGATGAAATTGAAATATACCAAAAGTGCCACTAATGAGCACTTTTATTTGCTACTTAACTTGGAAAAAAATTGTTCTTAATATTACACTTCGCTTCGCTTGTGTAAATATTAACTTTTGCTGAGGCGGATTTGATCCCACCGCAAAGAGATTTGGAGTACCCTGTCCTCGCATCTCCGCTAAGAGCCCTTTCTAATTTACTAACGCTAGCCAAAAATAAAGCACCTACATATGCTAATAAATTGCCAAAGAGATGCAGCAAATGGAGACACCAAATACAAATAGACGCATCTTTGCATTAAAAAATTGGAATACAACAAACTGAGACATCAACACATACTTTGTATGTAATAATTGGTAAATAACAAAGCCGAATTATGTATAAACTGCATTTCAAAAAATCGCAAGATAAATTGAATTTGAAAATATCTGAAATCGCGTTTTTATTATTGTACTGTAGTTTGAAACAAATGGCTTTTTGGGTTCATTTATGTCAAGTGTCTTAACTTATTACTAATCGAATGTCAAAACACATGATATCAAAAGTCGTTAAGGTGCCACCAAAAGTAGTACCAATAGTACCAATTCTGCTGTTCGATAGCGGAGCTTGCCCTCCTTTTAAAAAATGAAATGATTTTAAAGAGAAGTCACAAGTCAAACCGCAAAAAAGTAAAGCGAGTCTGAATAAATTTTTAAACTTTTCCTGAAAAAAAATTATCGCGACCTATTTAACAGTCCGAACTACGTTCATTGACCCCTCATCATGATTAAGCTATAAAAAAATCAAAGAACTTGTTTTATGACTAACAATTTGTTGGGCCACATTAACACCACTGTCAAATCCGCTTAGGGGGGAGGATGTTATCTCAGTTTTGATTCAGAGTTTTCAGCAAAACAGAATCGAGCATTTTGCACGCAGCGCTGAGCATACTTCATTCAATTTAAACTCTGCGGTGGTAATTGTAATTTGATCCATCTTTTTCCATAAAACTAGCCCAAATAAAGAAAGTTAGACCAATACGTGTTTTTATTCCGCTGTGAATTCTGAAAACTTTAATACGAAACTCAAAATTAGGAACAAGAAATCATTTACGTTTTGTTCGCACCTTTTCCACTTTCGTTATTAGAGAAAATACAGTGCTGATTTAAATTATCCGGACAAAACGAACAGAACTTGAATTTTCACACGCGTTTTTCTTGGGTTCAGAAATTGGGTTCAGATTAGACGAAAAGTGAACAGAACAAAAGTTGCTTAGAATTTCATCAGAATTAATATAGTGCAGTTTTTTCTCCGAAATTCTCAACCAAAATTTTACCCCAAAAATGGGTAATTTTGGCTTTTTTCAATTAATCAAGAATTACGCTGAAACTACTTTGATAATTGATAAGAATATTGTATCATTAGAAGCCTCATACGCAGCCCAACAAAGTTTAAGAAGGGTTAACTCTCCAACGATTTGCGCAAATTTTGTAAAATTTGTTTTTAAGCAAAGATTCTGGGTTTTAGATAGTAACAATCACATTTATTGATTATCAAGTGAAAATTTTTTTCTCTTATACTGGTTAACTGGTTTTTGGAGATTTATACCTTCTTAAACTTTGTTGAGCTGCGTAAGAGGCTTCTAATGATATAATATTCTTATCAATTATCAAAGTAGTTTCAGCGTAATTCTTGATTAATTGAAAAAAGCCAAAATGACCCATTTTTGAGGTAAAATTTTGGTTGAGAATCTCAGAGAAAAAACTACACAATATGAATTCTGATGAAATTCTAAGCAACTTTTGTTCTGTTCACTTTTTGTCTAATCTTGACCCAATTTGAGAAAAACGCGTTTGAAAATTCAAGTTTTGTCCGGATAATTTAAATCAGCACTGTAATCAGCCTTCAATTTGGAAAAGGAATTTGAATTGAACTTGAAATCACCAAATCAAATAAGAGCAGGATCAAATTATGACTTTTTTCCTAAAAAAAAATCAGCACGGCCTAACTATTCACTAAAACCATTGACCCTCAAACATGCCAACTAGTTAACCTGTCGGAGCTCTTGGCCTGTGTGATGCGAATGAGTGGAACTAGAAGAGCAGTGGACATCTTGAGGAAGACGGCCTTGAGTTTGATGACACTGGAGGGGTCTCTCTTGATGAGAGTCTGCATGGAGGGGATGTACTGGTGCATTAGAGTGCCCCACGCATAGGAGAGGTCCATGATACTCTCCACAGCAGACAGATAGTCCTGCTTGACATTGATGATGCGCAACATCTGCGCCAACTGCTGCCTACAACCACACTAGCCTCACAATTAATAACACTAATTATCCACTAGGGAAAGGACAACTAACATCATAGCTGTCCAGCTTATACAGAAGCGCTGGTGAGCCTCATTAGGAATTACAAACAATTCTTGGCTCATTTTTCTTGACTCAGAATTGTTGCCTCAACACACAATTGCATAGTAAGATCGTTTTAGAATATAACTCACACGACTTTTCAGAACTTATAGCCCCGGGTATTCCAAGGAAGTAACTTAAAGCTAAATATATAGACCTAATCGTGTTTCGTACGGACCTTTTTAGGTTTCCTTACATGATAGATGCAATGTTTCTTAAAGTTTTCCTAAACAATTTTAACATAGCCAACAGACAGTTAGAAAAGTGTAGACGAAATCAAGGATCTGTTCGAACACGTTGCAACTTTCAAATTAAAAGAACTTAACCTGCTTGAAAAAAAAAACTGGAGCAATAGGAAATTTTTTCCACTCGGAATTCACAAAACTGAAGTCCAATTTTGAATCTAGAACTAATTCACGTTCTCTTAATTGGAGAACGTAACTTGAATTCCTTTTAACAAAAGAAAAGGAGTGAACTCAAAAAGACATCAAATGTCAAAAGGCGAAAAATCATATTTGAGCCTGGAAAATTTTTCCTAAAAAAGAAAGCAAAAAATCATCACGATCTTCATGAATGCCTTCGCTACATTGATTGACAATTGAAAATTCATGCCTGGTGTCATTGAGGAACTGTTTGACGTATAGGTTGGACTCCAACTGGTGGAACTCCTGCACCTCCTCCAGAGCCTGGCTGAGCTGCTGGATGTTCCTGCCTGCAGCCACCCACTCCTCGTGATTCAGAGCTGCTATCTGCGACTTCACCTTAAATACACACCTATAATTGCAAGCCAAGCTTAGTTACTATTTTTCTCTTCCCATCTGATAGTCATTCAATGCATAGTCCGACACGATGAAATAAACAGGCTTAATTAACAAAAACTTCCCTCGTGTTATTTTTAAGATATACCAAATAAACCATTTTCAGCAAGGGCAAGCGACAGTGAAGGAGTTTCAAATGAGTTCGCAAGATCGAAGAACATCTTGATACATTATAGCCAAGAAGCACTAATTGCAACAAAACACTTCATTCGAAATGCGCCACTAGTTCTCCCCCAGAAAAACTACGTTAAACTCATGATACAACACAAACTAAGATTGGCAAGCTACCCTACAAAAAGAGGGGGTCCAAAAGTGCCGCCTTCCAGTGGTGGACATGACAGATGTACAAACAGCCGCAAATGGCACGTACCCTACCTTCCCCAACAGGGGAGCGCAAAAAAGCACAAAAGAGGAAAAAAGCACAAAAGAGAGTCGAAATAATTTTGAAAACCAAGTCAACACATGGTTGAAAAATTTTCAAAAAAACTCAAGGACAGCGAAAAAATTTTAGAACAATTTTCAACTTTCGATGAAAAAATATAACACGTTGAAGCGCTTTGCTCTTCAAGAATTGTTTCATCTTTCAAACATTTTGCTTGAACTTTTGAAAGCTGGATCAAAATGTAAACTTTTATTTCTAGGAAGTACATGCTTGAAGCCATCCACATTTTTCGCAACATTTCGATAGTGGAGTTTGCCTTCGTTTTAACAAAGGAAATGAGCTGAACTTAAATCTAAAAACAAAAAATCACGACCTAGAAAAAAAGGACAGTTGGAAAAGTGTTAAAGAAGCTAACTAGCAAACCATAAAAACACTCGCTTATTTTTGAAAAACCATATCAGAGTTGATAAATCCACAGCCAATAAAAAAATTCGAATAAAAAGGGCATTTTAAAAGCCTGTTGTTGACAGAATCGAAGAGTTGGTCATATGGTTCAGCTGATTTTATTAAACAAGTAGTTGGCCTGAAAAAAGTCCTATGTTCCAATTTGATAACGCTCTCTAATCATAGAGGTAATTATGTTTGCGCTCAAAGAACACATTAAATACTTGATAAAAAGGCAATTTTTAGAAAATCATTTTGAAAAATTTACATTCGCTTGCTGAAATGCTCCCAAATTTTTTTTGATTCTCGATTGAAAAAGTACCACTGACTACCTCAATAGATGGTCATGAGTTAATTCAAAACTATCACTGCAGGACGGTTTCACCCATATTACAATATGTTTCAGGTTAAGCATCAAAATAGCAAGCTTAGATTTTCATTGAAGGATCCACAAAAACACAAATATTGCTTCTTTTCAATAAACTGGCCAGAGGCCTAATTCGGAGGCTAATTATTTCAGCCCCAACGCCACAAGTAGCATCAAAACGCCACAAGTAGCATCAAAACGCCACAAGTAGCATCAAAACGCCACAAGTAGCATCAAAACGCCACAAGTAGCATCAAAACGCCACAAGTAGCATCAAAACGCCACAAGTAGCATCAAAACGCCACAAGTAGCATCAAAACGCCAGAAGTAGCATCAAAACGCCACAAGTAGCATTAAAATGCTATTACCAGCATGGGTTTACAACCATCTGGTCATGTGATGGCAGGGGTGGGTTGTTACAGACACTGAAGTGACTGCCTATTAGAAGTGTACCTGTTTGAACCATCCAGTGAGGTGTTCGTTCTTGTCTACTCTGGTGAGTGGCTTCACCCCACTGAACACGTCACTCAACTCGTCCATCCTCCCCTCACACTCACTCCTCAGTCTAGTCCAGTGACTAATCTTCTCCGCCAACAACTGCTTGAACATTCGCTTCACCTAAACACAACACTCACTAGTTCAATTAACTCTCTTCACCCAATAACTCATTTATCAATACAAAAGCAAACTTCATCCACCGCATATTTCAGAGCGTTTTAACCAATTGCCAAAACCAGGAAACTATTTTGGATCCACAAACGACATGGGGAAAATAAAAATCTGAGTTTCAAACACTTGTCAAAATAATTTTGAACCCCAAAACGACTCGGAGCAAATGAAAACGACTCGGAGCAAAATGAAAACGACTCGGAGCAAAAGAAAAAAGAAGCAGAGCTTTGCAAATTTTGGGCTGAGGAAAAACGAAAAAAAAAATAGTCAGATAAAACTGTGGCATTGTTGAAAAACATCTACAAAAAATTATGCAAGCAGTAATAAAAGTAGGTCTCTAACTGACATCTTAAACATGCCTGCACTGCATTAAAGTTCTCAGAAGATGCGCGATCAAGCCATTTAAAAATGATAACACTGTTTTCTGATTTGCTTTTTACACGCGAAAAGATATTTAATTGAACACAACCAACAAACAGTTGGAAAAGGGTCAATGAACGCAATAAAACAAAAAAAAACTATAATAATTATTTTTTAAATCAATTTTCGAATTTCAAAAAAAAATAGATGACCTTAAAGCTCCTTAAAATTCAAGAGCAAGTAATGATTGACACTTTCTCAATAAAATTAACCCAATTTGAGAAAATTGGATTTTTACGTACGAATATATATGGCCTTATAGCTCTTTGATTATCAAGACCAATTCATAATTGACATAACAATTCAGGATTGAGAAAACTGGATCAGTAGTTGAAGTTTTTATTCCCCTGGGAAATCTGAAAATTAAAAACCACTTTCAAAATTAGAAGTCGATCACGTTTTTTGTGAATTTTAAGCTCTTGCTTTTCGATAGTCGAGTTTGCTTTCCTTTCAAGCAAGGAATGAACTGACCTGAGTAAAATCAAACTCAAACCGCGAAAAATCAAATTTGCGCGCGACTTTCTCCTGAAAAAAAAAACATCACGGCCTATACAAGGATCTTCACTAGGTGTATTCTATCCTAATATGGAATGAAAAATCCAACTTTAGTCTTGAATAGCAAAACTTTCGTTAAGTACAGGAATCTACCCACTAACTTGGTGATTAAGAGTCTCAAGTTTTCACATCATTGCTAAGTGCTCTTGATAGCATTAAAGCACTAGCTACTAATCAAGCGGATACCCTTCCACACGTCTGGTCCCATTAAAAAATCATCAGTTCCTATAAAAATGAAAATCACTTCGTTCTTTACACTTAAAAACTAGCTCTGAACATTAAATGACATCTACGCGAGATTTGAATCTCAATCCTTGGACTAGTCGTCTTCCATATAGACATGTGCTACTTGCGCGAAAATTTCAAATAATGTAAATAAAACTAAAGCTAAGTTTGGGAAAGCCACAGAGATTTAGCTGTAAAATGCATAAAAACTCAAATTTTGCATGTAATAATTTGAAATGTAAAAAACTAAAGGCAACTTCCACCAATTTTGCTTGCAACCAATTAAAATGTATAAAAACCATATTGCGCATAATTTATGCATTTCGAAAATCTCACGAAGTATATCGAGTTGGAATAATTTTTTTCCAGCTCAATTGACGAATTAAGAAAGCATCAACTGTGTTCATTTTAATACTAACCAAAATTCAAAGCACAATATTGTAGTGCTAATGAATCATACAGATTCAAAAATGCCACCAAAAAGTGAACTTTTACTGGTTTGATAGCACCCCGTCCATCAAAAGAAACAGCTACCTTGTCAAGTAATACAGGTTAGAAAGCAGTGAAATCAAAATTTTAACACAGGCGAAGCTGCGCTTCGCAAACATAAGCAAGGAAAATGCAAAAACAAAGTGAGTTACGGAAAAAATTTAAAACAAACCTTGAAAAAAGGTGTTTAGTTTAGGAGCATCACAATCTCACATCTCTACCACTACTGTTTGTAACTTTACTAAAACTAGCCACCAAAAAAGTAGCTATAGTTTCTATCAATTTGCCAATATTATGCAGCAAAAATTCGACCAAAAAATAGAACTATTTAAATGTTCCAGATTTGAATATCCGACCTAATGATTAGGAGTCCCACGTCCTCGCATCTGCGCCACGGTAGCTTGGAAGTAAACTAGTGGCCCAGTTACAGTTGAACCTACCTGTTCTAATGTTTTTAACCATATATTGTACTGATACGGAAATGCGTAAATTTCCAAATTTCAAAAAAATGGACTTTACGCTAAACCCTCTTCTTAAGTAGGGAATTAAACGCCTACTTTTTCTTTCGATTGAAAATTTTCCCTCAGATTTGATTGGATAATTGGCGAAATAAATAAAAAAAATCCCAAAAATCGTTCAAAAGTTTGATTTTCCTAAATCCATAAAATTTTCTCTACTTAAGCATGGAAATGGCCTCTGCTTTCCACACTCTGATTTTTAGATTGAAGATTTCTGAAACCCTGATTTTTTAGATTGAATCCTCATTATCAGATTTAATCAGTAGTTTTCGAGAATAATGACAAAATTTCTAAAAGTAAAAGTTTCAAACAATAAGGAATTTTCCGGAAGTCCATCTCGGTTTTTCTACAAAAAAAAATAGGATTACGGGGGGAAAATATAAGCACCATGTTAGTTTAAATGAACTATCAACCTCAGAATCAGTAGGTTACATTTTGAAGAAGAAAGAAGTTTCCAAAAAAAATCAAAAATTCAAAAATTGGACATTTCCTAAGGCCATATTCTTTTTTTGAAAAGCAGGACATAGACGCTTGCACAGGGAAGATTCGCATAACTGGTTTTATTCTTTCGGTTAAACCCTTCATCTGCGATTTGGCAGGGTAATTTTTGAGAAAAGACGGAAAACTTTTAAAATTAACCAAAATCTCAAAAAATGGTCTTGTTTGAGGCCATAACTTGTTTTCTATCTCGGATTTGTGCATTTAATATTTGAGAGAATGAGAAAAATTCACAACAAATATGCGAAAAATCCTCCTATTGAAAATTACGAAGGCCATAGAACGTGAAATAAAATGAAAAGAGACTAGCGCAACATCCAGGCACATAGAAGAGCAGCCGTTTTTTCGTTTGGTCTCATTTTGAAAATTAGCTGTAGTTTTTGAGAAAAATTGAAAGTTCATAAAAGAGCTCAAAAATTTTCCAAAGCGAAAAAACGGAAAACAACAAATCCCATACATTTTCATGTTACATGTTTTTACAAACAGGAACTAACACTAGCCAAAAATAAAGCAAATAAAGCAGCAACACATGCCATTATATATTTTTTGCTTAAATAAGCTGAAAAAATGATAAAATTGGTTCATACCAAAAATTCAACCAAATGGGTACTTTTATTTGCAACTTGAGTTAGAAAAAAATATCTTCGTAATAACACACGACACTTCGCTTTTGTTCAAATCTGTAGTTCATTATCTCAAGAACCTTGAAAAATCCTTATGCGGACGAAGAAGACTAAATGCGCGAAAACTTTCAACCAATAACACCTTCAAAGTTTCACTTAATTTCCCTTTTCATTCATTTCAGATTTTCAAATACAGAAATCTTATTGGTATTAAATATTTTAGCATTCGGTCATTCTGGCAGTGAAAATTCAGCACTGGACAAGCGCACTTACTATAAAATTTCAACAAGGGAGTGTCAAAGTCTTAGCACGGAAGCTAAGCTGCGCTTCGCAAACACTAGAGGGAAAACGACAAAAAAGCAGCTCTGTAAAGTGAAAAAATAAAAAGCAAGTCTCGAATTATTAAAACTTTTGCTACGTACCGGGTTCGTTTCGATGACCTCTAGATTTGGAGTCCCACGGCCTTCTCTCTCGGTCTTAGATGCTTAACGATCAATAAACACTATCCACAAAAAAGCAGAGAAGAGACGCTTTGAAAATTCCATTGCTACAGATCGTGATTGTTTCAGAAGTGCCACTAATTGAGCATTTTTATTTGCGAGTTACGTTGGAGGATAAAGAAGATTCATACTAATACATAAATCTCAAAATCAGTTGTGAAACGGTAGTCAACTCTTTGATATTTTTTATAATTAAAACTTACCAAAAAATGAGGTTGAAAGGCTGCCGGTAAAATACGGTTTGTTGGCTAAAAATGGATGGTGAATGGACTCAACAGATATAGTGTGAGTGTTTAGATAGCGAAGGGGTTTAATTGGTGAGCGGAATTGTTGCTAAATGCCGAACTGGCTCAGAAGTTCTGTTTGAAAAGAAGAAGAGATTTGAACCTTGAGTTCCAGCTGGGCACTGTTCATGAGGAGTTCTAGCACAGCCTCGTGTGTGAAGTGTGAGTGGGTGGAGATGGTCTCCTGCACTGTCTTGTACTGCTTCATTCGGTTGGTTGCCTGTGCCATCTGAAACACACTCAACCATCTCCACTCATAACCCACATACATTACTAGACCAAGCCACTCAACAGGGGAAAGAACCAACATACGAGCTGTTCAGCTCATCACTGAGAACCACTGCTGTGCCCCTGCTTCATTATGACTCTCAATCTCAAGGCGAGAATGAAACATCGCATATTTTGACCTTTCATGATACATACATTATCGACAAACTACAATCATTTTGACTTTCAGAGACCATCATTATGACTTTAAATTAGTCAAGTGATATTTCCACCGGGTAGTCAATCGACATTACAGCCCTGCTTCCATTGTTCAGTTGCATTTTCAAATTACTGTTTTACTTCCAAATTTTGAAATTTCTAAATCTACTACTATCTATTCGCTTTTATCTGCTACTTGTTTGCACAGCTACTGCATGATATATAAAAAAAACAGTATGAAGTATAGTGGGCAGTAGTCATATAGTCTGAATGTCTTGATATCTTATTTAACTAGTACATAATTGGGGGCCCTGTTTCGGAATAGCATAGTGAGCATATAGTTGTTGCATTGCATGTACCTTGCTGTTGTGCAGCAGCATCCACTTGAGTGTGGTGTTTGACTCCCGGATACAGTTGAGCAGTTTGTCTCTGTTGTCCAACAGGTAGTTCACAGTCAGCACCCCCTCCTTCAGGAAGTTGTTCACACTCACCCCACACTCGCCCATCTTCTTGTGCATCTTCAGCGACAGCCGCTTCACGTTCTCCAGCATGAGACTCTGTGCCAAAGCTAGACGAGCTGCTCTTGAACAAAACAACACAGCTGCTCTTTCTTTTCTTTTCCACCTCCCGCCAACCCCTCAACAATTGCAATAGTAGGCTCACAGAAAATGTACGGGAGTCAAAAAACGGGCCCGAACATAAGTGAATCAAAAACACACTTTCATCGAAAACAGCACAAGTAGAATTACTAACGACCATTGTACATGTATAAACATCTTTGCAAATCTCTATAACCCATGAGTCATCTTAAGTCTACAAACGGAAATAGCTAGTAAGTATATGTTAGAGACAAGAAGAAAAGCGTATGTACTTGTATGGCTCCCACGCCTCTGCCAGATTGACTGGGATGGTCATGTAGAGGTTGATGATCCAGTTGTCTGGGAAGAACTTGTCCACTATTCCCCTCATCTTGGCACTGTCCGAGTGCAGCAACTCAGGCACAAAGTACAACATCACGTAGATCATAGAGGCCTGTCCAGACAATGCATGACTCCTACAACACCATACATACATACATACATACATACATACATACATACATACATACATAGAACAAAAGCATTCTCAATTAAGATTTCTAAAAGCTTTTTTTATTACCACCGCAATGTAAAACAGGTCCATAATGAAAACTTTTGGCAGCCTTCTAACTGCGCTTATTTTGATCACAACGTGGTGAACCAGTTTATTCACTTTCCCACAATAGTTTTCAATCTTTGTTTATTCAAAATTGAACGGACGAGCGATTTGGGCTCAAATTCATTATTCGACAGAAACTGCTGGTATTATGCGCTTGCTGCTATTATAGGTCAATAGTTGACGAACGAAATATCTGAGATCTCTCAATAGATTTCCCACAGCCCCGTATGGTATCAAGCGGCTAATCTCAACCCATATAGACGAACGATCAAACGTTTTGGAATCCATAAATATTTTTCCGGTCATTGATCCACTGATTGATGCATTTTGCAGACATTGATACATTTGCGAGCATTATTGAGGCAGCTTTTCGTCTCCACCCCACCCCACTCGTGGAATATATCTCATGTCTTCTCTTTGAGTCACCTGTGTGTGGGGTTTGGGTAGAAGGAGATGAGATTGTACAAGTCATCCGACTCCATCCTGCCACATACAATCTGGAGGAAGTAGTCGTTGAGAGGGACCCTTCTGAACAAACTCTCCGGGTAGTCCTGTGGCCGCACACTCTGCTTGTCCACAGAGGAGGAGTGGATGTAGCCGGTGGAGGCCAGTAGTTTGCACACTTCGTCTATGTGCGAGTCTGTGGACACGTGTGTGCCTCCATTGCGGTAGTAGAACACGAGCATCTTCTCCCTCACGTCTCCTAAAAAGAGACTCATTCGAAGAACATATAAAAGTGCACAGAAGATACCAAGGTGAACGAAAGTTGAGTGGCTACTAGTGCCTGTCCCTCTACAGGAAGCAGACTGGTGCTTCTAACCACATCCTGGTCCATGAACTAACTCTCGTCAAGAAAAATCAAGACGTCTTTATTAAGACTATATCAATATCAGTTCCATCTAAGAGCTGAAACGCACGCGACAGCCTTAGTCCGCTATGTCGTTTATAAATGGTTTTATGTTGAAACTATATTAGAACCAATCATTAAATCTTAAATTACTAAGAAGCCGGTTCACTTGACATAATTTCTTTTTTCCAAATTCTTAGCTCTGAGTAGAGACTATTTCCCCCAAATGTTCTCAGTGTGCACTCACCGGGTACCTTGATGTCCAAGAGCAGTAGCATCACTCCGTAGATGTAGACTGCCTCTGCCAGCAACTGTTTGCCCTCTATAGTCTTGATCACACTGTCCGCCGTCTCCTGCACAAAGGAGCCCTCTGACAGCTGGGTGACATACTTGTTCAGGTCGTCCACGTACTTGTACACACTCTCGAACACCAGGTAGAACCTCTCTATGATGAGTTTGTGGTTGTCTCGGAACTCCTCGTTCAGATCCACCAGCTTCCCGTTCCCACTGTAACTCTTCTCAAAGCTCTCTGATATTCTAAGAACAAATGTCATTTTAATTTTGGGCTACATTTTGTGTCCTATACTTGTACAATACTACCTGCAAGGGCTGCCGTGTCCATAACTCTACATAATCGATGTACTTCAAAATCAGATATGCTCTTTCTAGCTCTCAACAAAAGAGATGTATATTTTTTGAGCTACGTTGAAGTGGCCAAGTCTTTACCTGTCAATCGAAAAGCCCTTCGTACTTGTTGCTTAAGGGCGAGGCATCATTACCCAGCCCAGGAAAATAACCAAAAAGATTGCACCTAATTATAACCATGGACACAACCGCGGTCCTCCGTGACGAGCTGAACAGCTGGTATGTTGGTCCTTTCTATTATGCATCACCCATTACAACTTCTTTTCTTCAAATAATCAATTCTTTACTCACGTGAAATAGTGGAAGTCCATAAGGAGGGGTGCGTATTTCTCATGGTCCCCCTGGCCATTAAAAACTGGGGGGATGAAGTCGGACAGTCTCAGTATCTCAGCTATGATCGCATTCCCCCGGGACACCAACTTGAGGATAGTTTGGCCACACAAGTTTTCCTCGGAGAGGAAGTCACCCTGATTGTCGGCCATGTCTGCAACCCCCACTTTCTACAACTTACATGTATTTGTTCTTTAGTTTTCAACTCTTTAGTCGGGAATTATGTCAATTTACTACTGACCATTTAATCTAAAAAATTAAATTGCATCAACCCCACCCACCATACACCAACGCGTTCAAAAACCTAAATTTATACACTTTCCGACTTAAAATAAAAGTTTGCAAGAACGCCAGGATCAGAGATGACCTGTGAATTCAATTGAAGCACGTGGAAAAGATGAAGGTGGCATCTATTGTATACACAGAGGCGAAGCTGAGCTTCTCACCACTTGCTTTACACGACAAACATAAAAAAACATAAGAAATCGAAAACAAAATTCAAAAAGTTCAATTTTTACCTATTTTTTTTTCAATTGCATGCATACTGAAATATAAGGTCCGGCCCATACTCGAACTCCAGACCTAAGGGTAAAAAGGCGAAAGCGCTAACCCTAGGCCAAGTAGGAAGGAACCTGGAAGAAGTTAAGAGAACAAAAAAGGGAAAAAAGAGAAGAATTTGTCAGGCTGGTTTTCGCAAGTGTAATTAGTTATCTATTAATCACTGTTTCGGCATAATTAATTTTAAAATTTCTTAAATATGGGAGCCAAACAGTCATTATCCAACATTATCCCAAAAATAATTGTCGCACTTTGTCCTTTTTGGTCATTGAGCACTTTTTTTTTATTTTTTTTTATTAGCCCCCGGCCTGCTCAGTGCAGGACCAACCGTGGGGGAGGGGGAGATGTCATCCATTTTGCCGCAGCCGGTCCCACCTTGAGGAGGCGGATGACACTGTGACACTGAAACCCCTCCAGCCGTGACCGAAGCGGGATTCGAACGCATGACCCTCGTGTTAAGAGAAATGTGCCTAACCCACTTGACCACGACTGCTCACATCATTGAGCACTCGGCACTTCCCTATCTAGGCCATCTGCAGTGATGTTTAATTGCGCCACTTGGAATTTATTTTCGGAGCGCGTACTTCGTTTTCTTTTTAGCAAATGATTTTAATTTTTTTCTTACAAATCCAAAAAATTTAACGCAGAACGCATCAAAAATATAATTCCGCTCTTGAAACGACGTATCACGAGGCAAATAAAACGATTCAAAATAAGCCAAACAAATCATTCAATCAAAAAGTTATAAAAAGCAATTTATACAAAATCACTCATACGAAATCCTGTGACATAGTTATATCCAGAAAATGGTCTAGTAACCGGTTGCAATAACTTTGCTTATCACAAGGGTAGAGAACAAATCCACGAAAACTTCAATTAAAGAACAACTTCCAAAAACGGCTCCTGACTGAGTCAAATTCAAGGCAATCTCAAAAATCACTTCTAATTGATCAGCACTTGCAGGTCACTTCATCTTAAAAGTAAGAACGAATGATTTTTAAAACAGCGTTAATTCTTTTAATTGCGAAGCCTTGCAGAGCAGAGCCTAAACTTTCTTAGATCTAGCAACTGAATTTGAACTGCACGAAGAAAACATCAAAACTCAAACCGCGAAAACTGTTAGTGATTCGAAAAACGGGCTTTGGCATGTGCGTTACCTCTGCACGCTATTTAAGGATCAACGTCTTGATTTTGATTTTTATGGGCAAAGGTGTCACATGATTCTAAGGATTTTAGCATCGCGAACAAACAGTTGGAAGAAGTCAGTGAACTCAAGCAAACTCAAGCAAAATCTCGAGCTTTCAAGTTTCAAAGAAACAAAATGCTTCCCTTAAAACTCATTGAATTTTTGAAACAATTTATGATTGTCACTTTTGAGTAACCCGGATTCGCAGGAAAACAGACAAAAAAATTGATTTGTTTTTTTTTGAACGCATGGTCAACAGACAGTTGGAAAAGAGTCAATGAACGCAAACAAAAAATACTGAAAAAAACTCAGCTTTCGATTTCCGAAGAAAAAATACATGACCTTAAGGTCATTTGAAACTTTCAAACAATTTATCAATGACACTTTTTTGAATATATTAACCCAATCTGGATCAAAAAGTAAAATTGTTATTTGACTGGGAAATCTGATAACTGAATTCAATTTTTTAAACTAGAAGTCGAGATAGTGGAGTTTGCTTTCCTTTTAACAAAAAACGAGCTGAACTTGAAAAAAAAACTATAGTCTAACCTCGAAAAAGTAATTTTGAGCTTGAATAAATAAAAAAAAAAAAACGGGAAAATCACCACGACCTATTTTGAGTCTATCTACGTTCAGCGATTCTTAGTAAATTAGTCATTTATTCGAGGACCTGAAAAAAGTCTACTCTACGATTTTATACCGCTCGCTAACCTCAAGTGTTAACATACACCAACATCAACTTCAAATCCAATGAAACTTAAAACCTGATTCGCACCAGGTTTTTAACACCTTATGATTCGAAAGCTGTAGCTTCTTTCAACCATCTATTCTATCTGTGAAAAGACTTTAGCGAACATATAGAACAAAAAGATTGAAAAGCGCCAAAGAACCTCAAAAATTAAAGAAAAATCAATTTTTCTGAAACTCTTTTCTGGTTTCCCGAAGCTCAATGTTCTGATGGCTGTATTTGATAGACTCAAATTATAGATATTGTCGGTGGCTGAGAATAGCTACAAGTTTCGGATGAAAAAAAAGTTTTATTCGAGGTCTCAGACACTTGAAAACAAATATTAAGCTCTTCAATCAAGTGCCAAGCATCTTTTTTGATTAATTTTTACTTACAACGAAAGAACCTCACGCCCTAGCTTCTGCACCATGACCGCTTGATGAGCATCAAACATTAGTCAGCTCGAAAAAGTAAGCATCGAAAAGACAGCTCAGAAATGTGGCACTACGCTCCGCATGTGTAGCAAAGGTCTGTTATAAATTTTTTCATGTTTATCATAATTTTCGCAACTTACAAGAGAAGGTACGATCTCGCCAATCTCTAACAATTATGATTCATAAGAGCTCACTTGACATAATCAAAGCATAGCCAACAGACAGTTGGAAAACAGTCAGTGAAAGCAAGGTGACCGAAAAAACATTGCCAAATGACAGTTGAAAAGAGCAATGAACGCAAAGAAACTGAAAAAACACTGACTTATCTTTTGAAAAAACTTGGACTTTTGAATGCCGAAGAGAAAAATAGACGACCTTAACTCTCTTTGTAATTGTCGAACAATTTATGATGATTGACACTTTTTTGATAAAGTTAACCCAATATGAGAAAACTGGATCAATAGGTAAAACTTTTTTTGCTAGGTATCTGATAATTAACTTCGGTTTTCCAAATTAGAAGTCGATCACGTTTTTCGTGCCTTTACATTTTTGCTGTTCGATAGTGAGTCAAACCGCAAAAAAATCAAATTTGAGCTCGAACAAATTTAGGACTTTTTCCAGAAAAAAAATTCCGAGACCCAGATAAGAGTATTCAGTACGCTCATTAATCTTAAAAACGCAATTCAGTTTTTGAACTTTTCTAACAAAACTTACACGACCTTACAGATCTTATAAATTCAAAAAAAAATTTGATTAACCTTTTTTGATTTAAAATAACCTCGTTTGAAAAAATGCATCAATAGGTCATATTCGACAAACAGGTAAAATGGACAACAACTTTTAAAGAAAAATGACTAGAAAAATAAACAAATCATAAGAAAACTTTAAGAAAACAATTTTTTTTGCATAAATTTTTTGAGTTTTCGATTCTCAACATGGCAATAAAAACTCCAACTACTGGAGTACAACTAAACTTAAGCATACATATAGAGGGGAAGCTTCGCTTCGCAATTACTTGCGACAACACGACAAAAAGCAGCTTTATAAAATGCAATGATAAAAATTTGAAATAAGCCTAAAACTAGTAAAAATTCAGGTTTCGAACCAGCGACCTAGAGATTAAGAGTCTCACTCACTAACCACTCAGCAACGGAACCTTAATAGGCACCAAACAATAGCCACAAATAAAGCAGAGGTCAGATGCTATGCAATTTCCAATGCCACAGTGAAATTTCCAAATAAAAAGAACACTTTAATTTGCGAGTTCGTTTAGAAAAAAAAGAAGGCTCGTAAAAATACACTAAGCTTATCGCAAAAAAAATATTTTAAACTGCCTTAACTAAGCATAATAAACCATACTCGATTGCTTTACGAGCTGGAAATTAGACGAAAAATCAAAAATTTCAAATCGGTTTTTCTCGACATTGGAAAAAATTTAGAAGTTTTTTAATGTCGTTTGAATCACGATTGAAAGGGCTTTAATATGATATATCACTCGACCCATTCCAATTATGATTTGTTGTACCTAATTTTGCATGGAAAACAAAAACAATAAAACACCTGAACACAAAGTTCCTCCTCATCCTTCAAATTGCCGGATTAAAAACTAGAGACAGCAGAATACAAATTTCCTCCACATTTTTCAAATGTTCGGACGAAAATAAATTTAATACATGTTCAAATTGAGAAAAACAAATTTAATAGGTATTTTCTATACCACTGGTAAGTCTAAAATGAGAAATTTTTAATACTTTAAGTAACTTTTCGCGTTTCTTGCATTTAAGTTTTCAGAGGAGAGCTTAATTTTAGGAAACATATTAGCTCAAACTGCAAGTAAAGCAATCGAGTCGGTAAAGTTCGTTATAAGAAAATTGGTCAATTAGGCTGAGAAAATTCAATTTCACTAAGCGAAAATCAGTTTTAGAAGCTTCATTTAGCACTTGCTTGGCAAAAAAGTTTATTTGAAGAATTGTTTGAAGACAATCTGTGTTATTTGCACAGCAACTGGCTCTCCTTGTTTCCTTTCGTGATCTTTTCGATCTGGGCCAAGATTTGCCTTTTGATTTTGATATGCTAATTCATATCTGTTTTTATGTGCATTTGTTTCAACTATGACATACAGTCTCACAGGAAAAAAAGGATAATGTAGAATTGAATTGGCACATGATAAAAAGCATAACACATGCCCAAATAATATCATAGACTGTATAGAATAGAATTTGATTAGTATAAATGAGAATTCCAAAATGCAAGCATTTTCTGATGTAAAATGAAGTTTTTGTGACACAACTATAGACCGAAGGATTGTAGCACAGATTATATGATGACTACGTCAAACATCCG